ATACAGAATCTGAAGCAGGTTCCAGGCTCTGATCTGTTGGCACAGAGCCTGATGCAAACCCACAAACTGTGGCCTGAACCCACAAACTGTGAGATCATAACCTGAGGCAAAGTTGGATGCTTTAACTGACTGAGCCACCCAGGCGCCCCATACTCTTCCTAGTTTAAAAATGCAAAGGAAAATGAGTATGTTTTTGTAGGCATATAATATGTATGTAAAACTTGTAAATGACGTTTTGAAAGGATGTTCATCAGGATACTACTGTTGGTGATTACTTTGCCCAAGGGGAATGGGATTGTGGAGAGTGGTCAAACAGGACATTTAACGTTTCTTTGCTTTTTGGGTCTTTAAATTTTATTTTCTTGTTTATTTATTTATTTTTAGAGGGGGCACGTGCAAGGGAGGGAGAATCTTAAGCAGGCTCCATGGTGGGGCGGGGAGGGGGTGCTCCCTCACTCCCTCGACCCCAGGGTGGTGACTTGAGCTGAAAGCAAGAGTCAGAAGCTCAACCAGCTGAGCTCCCCAAGCACCCTAGAGGGAACATTTAGTTTTATTTGCTCCAAAATATTTTTTCCAAAGATTGTCACTATAAGTTTCACAGTTTTAAAAGTAAAAATAAAGGTACAGTGTTTATGATTGTGATTTGCTGACATTGAGATAAAAGGAACAAATAGCATTTAAGTTTAAATGTCATTTTAGGGGGCGCCTGGGTGGCTCAGTTGATTGGGCATTCAACTTCGGCTCAGGTCATGATCTCATGGTTCACAAGTTCAAGCCCCGCATTAGGCTCTGTGCTGACACCTCGGAGCCTGGAGCCTGCTTCAGATTCTGTGTCTCCCTCTCTCTCAGAACAGATTCTGTTCCTCCCCTGCTCATGCTCTGTCTCTCAAAAATAAATAAATGTAAAAAAATGTTTAAAAATAAATAAATGTCATTTTAGGATTTGAATGGAAATTTTGAGTACCTTGTTATAAGGACTTGAGGCAGTCATGAGTGGCAACTTTTTATCTTCCATGTAGGGAATAACCTTTCAGGTTAGCAAGTGTTAAGAGATGTATTTTGGAATTTAACTTCTCATAGAATTGTAAGATTTGTATGGTTCTGACCATCTGTTTATTATGTCATTATCCTTTTAAAACCTCTGTCTGAGTAACTTGCAAATTTCTTTGAAGTAGGACCTATCATTTCATTCACAGCTATTTTCATTACTATGTGCCAGGTGCTAAAAACATTGGACATGGTATTAATCCCAAACAGACTTACTCATAAGAATATGCCTAGTGAAATTCTGCCTTTTAGTAATAATAAATCATGGGAGATTGGAATTACCTTAGCAAAATGGATTATATCTGTTTCTTAAGAAATATCATTTTTTTGAGATATAGTGGAAATTTGTTCTAAGTTTTAAAATGTTAGGGGCGCCTGGGTGCCTCAGTCTGTTGAGCATCCCATTTCGGCTTAGGTCATGATCTCGTTGTTCATGAGTTCGAGCCCTGGCCTAGAGCCTGCTTTAGATTCTGTGTCTGCCTCCTCCCGCTCACCCTCTCTAAAAAATAAACATTTAAAAATTTTTTTTAATGAAAATAAAATGTTAGATCAAGTTAATGATTAATTTTTGGATGTCAGTGGTTGGTCATTTTCTTGAAATCGGTTCCCCAAATGTTTGAAAACTTGAAAATAAGTGTTCTTGAGCTTTGCTGTACTTAAGAAAGCACTGGAGTAGAGTGAGAAGGGGAGACTAAAAAAAATTATTGATGCTTGGATCCAACTTGCAAAGATTCTGGCTTACTTGAGAGAGGAGTAGCCTTGGCATCTGGAATTTTTTTTTTTTTCAAAGAGCTTCTCAAGTAAATTTTTTTTAATGTTTGTTTATTTTAAGAGAGTGAGAGTTGGGGAGAGGCAGAGAGATAGGGAGACAGAATCCGAAGCAGCCTCCAGGCTCTGAGCTGTCAGCACAGAGCCCAACACAGAGCTCAAACTCAAGAACCACAGGATCATGACCTGAGCTGAAGTCGGATGTTTAACAGACAGACTGAGCCCACCCAGGCTCCCCCTCTCAAGTGATTTTTTTTCAAGTTTGTTTATTTTGAGAGAGAGTGCTAGCTGCGGGGGGAGAGAGAGGAAGGACAGAGCGAGTGTATCCTAAGCAGGCTCTTTGCTGTCACTACAGAATCCAGTGTGGGTCTTGATCTCATAAACTGAGATCATGACCTCAGCTGCAATCTAGAGTTGGATGCTTAACCCAGTGAGCCATCCAGATGCCTCTCAAGTGATTTTTAATGTGTGGCTAAGGCTGCATACCAGTGCCTTAAAACTAGTCCTTGTTACCCTTGGTTGTCACTCAAAATGTAATGAACAATTACATTAGTAGCAGTTGTCCATGGTAACAACACCTTCTAGTGTGTTGCTTTTCCCTGACCCAGCTTCCCACTGTACATTCTGGAACACCGTTCATAGTGCCAGCTGTACAGAGAAGAAAGTACTCATTGCATGTTGAGCGTCTGAAGTAAATACTTGAAACCCATTCTCAGAATAAATTTCTTTTACTTTCTTGGCTTAACTGAAATCTGGCTTTTCTCAGGAAGTCCTATATTTCTCTAATAACTTTCCCAGGTAGATGGATGGATGCTGCCTTCCTCTGGGATAAAATTCCCTGTTTTTCAGGTTTCTGTTTTCTACCTAAATACCCAGGCACCTTTCCTTACTACCTATTATTTCTTCATTCTTCAGAGAACTTGGTACCAATTTCTAGGCATGCACTTCTGATGTTATCCTGACAGACATCCATGGCTTTCCCTGAAAATGACCTCTTTAGTTACCCCAGTTTAAGTTCTTGATTCATTAAAAAAAAAAAAAAAGTTAAGTGTCTTTTACACCTCAGACGTTGTTCTAGCAAGGTGCTGTGTACACGGTGGTAAATTAAAGGAATCTAGTGAACATTTTAAACTCTTAACTTTTAGGGGTGTTTGGGTGGCTCAGTTGATTGGGCTTCTGACTTCAGTTAAGGTCATGATCTCACAGTTCATGAGTTCAAGCCCTGCATCAGGCTCTATGCTGACAGCTCAGAGCCTGGAGCCTGCATCAGATTTTATGTCTCCCTCTCCTTGCTCTTTCCCATTCACACTCTGTCTCTCTCTCTCTCTCTCTCAAAAAAATAAAGATAAAAAAAACTTAAACTCTTAACTTGGACAGTTGCATGGAAGATAGATTAGAGGCAGGAAGCATGGAAGCAGGGAGTTCAGTATGGAGGCTAGCACAGAAATCCAGGTGAGGTTATGGTGGATTGGACCAGGGTAGTGGCCAAAAAAATAAATAAATAAATACAAGCAGATTGATTTGAGATACGTTTTGGAGGGAGACTAGACCAGACTTGTGGTGGATTGGTCGCTGAGTACTAGTGGTTTTTAAGCTCTCCTCTGTCTCAGATCTCCACATGTGTATAGCCCTACCTCTGAAATCATAAATACACTCATCAAGTTTTCTGATATTGAATCTTTGTTCTAAGACTACTTGAATTAGACTTGTTTTCAGTCCATGTCCATGCCCCATTTCCCCTCTACATTTCGTACCTGGGATGACCACCTTTCACGGTTTACCTGAGCACAACTGAGGCATTTCTTGCGATGCCAGACTTTGAGTGATAAAACTAGCATAATTTGGTCACCCTACACCTACCCCAGTTTTCCCTCTTCTCTACTATTGCGTGGTATGCTTCAGCATGTTAACCTTTTCCTGAGTATTTCTACACATGATTGCATCTTGTCTTTTGGACCTTGTTCCATTTCCTACTCCTATGCCTTTCTTTTTTTTCCTTCTAGATTTCCTTTTATTAAGTACAAAATGAAAGACTACCAACTTCAATTCTTTAACATTTCTTGAGCATGGTATAGGACAGCAAGAAGTTGATACGTATGGCTGATATTTTCCAAGTCAGCTTTCCTATTCCCTTTAATTCCTGCCAGTTCCTTGGACCTCAGGCAGTTTTCCTAACTTTCCAGTGTTTGTGATCCTGAAGCACTGCTCCTTACTTGAGCATGACTTAGCAGTTGACCTGATCATTTTATTGTCTGCCTCTCCTGCTCCAGTGTGCTTTTTGCAGGCCATCTTGTTTGTTGTGTTGTTTGTTATCCATCATTTACCCTTTCCGTTTATTTCACCACTTAACACAGCCAGTACTTTGTTACTTGTTTGCTTGTTTGTGGTCCCCTGCCCCCAGTGACCTACCTTGCACACTATGCCTCCAAAGGCTAGGACAGGGCCTAGCGCATAGTATCACTCAGATCATTGAGCAAATGAATGGATGATTGTCTCCCAATGCACTTTAGTTTTGGGAATATAATAAATGTGTGTTGAATGAGTGATAGGATTTCTGTTGAGTGGAATGTTATGTTACCCTTAATAGTAATGTTTGAATTTGTGATTACATGGGGGAATGCATATTCTACCAAACAACTTTATAAAAACCATGCATATTGAATAGTTATAATTGTAAAACGAAAAGTTTGTATTTTGGTATAAAGTGTATAAAAATACAGGCAAATGTTCGTGTTTCCAAAAAAAAAAAAAAAAGGTCAAGCAGTAATTAGAAACCTCTCCTCATAGCCTGGAATCCTGGAGTGCCAGCATATTATAATTAGACGTTAAAGCTGAGGAACTAGGTACCTGAATGTCTTGTTCCATTTTCATTAATATGGCTGCTAATAATAATCTATTTAGCATTTAAATTAGTTGGTAACTGCTAGGCATAAAAACTAATAGTGATGGCAAGAATAGAACTGTGCATCTTGATACATGTTTTTTCTAAGTATCAGGAATGAGATAGCCGATATATGGAATCTGGCCATATCTTGCCCTTTTATGTTAATGAGATTATCGGTGCCCACAGTTTCATCTTCTGAGTCTGCCCCTTAATACTAAATTAAGTGTAAGTAACATATCTTTGATCTTTGTTAACATTGTGTCATACCAAATGTTTTGGTTTATTTTTTCTCCATCTGTAGGCTAAAGAAATCCTGACAAAAGAATCCAACGTGCAAGAGGTTCGATGTCCAGTCACCGTCTGTGGAGATGTGCATGGGCAATTTCATGATCTCATGGAACTGTTTAGAATTGGTGGCAAATCACCAGATACAAACTACTTGTTTATGGGAGATTATGTTGACAGAGGATATTATTCAGTTGAAACAGTTACTCTGCTTGTAGCTCTTAAGGTAATTTCAATTTTGTTTGGACATTTTGTACTGGATGAGACAGTCTTGAATGTTCTTTTTTTCCTAAGCGATTTGTGATTTTCTTTGAATATTCAGTTTTAGAATAAAACTCTATTTAGGAATGCAGGTATTATAAATCATAGGTCTGTCTTCATTCTGAATAAAAATGAGAAGGTTATTCTCTTGCAGGTTATTTGAAAAAAGTTAGAGGGCTGGTCAAATAGAAACATAATTTTAGTAAATTGGGATATGGAGAGGTAATATAATTACCTTTCTGTATGCATTTGAAATAGAGTATATTAAATGTCAGAATGTTTACATATTTTGACACAGTAATCCCATAGACTTTTACTGAAGAAGAAATTCAAGAGGAAAAGAGCTTCATTTGCTTGAAAACCTTAATGGTGGCATTATTAATACCAAAGATCTAAAAAGCCAACAAAAGTGAATATCTAAATTATGATTTATCTCATTGGAATAGTTAGCAGCCATAAAAACTTGGCAATCTAGAACAATAGAAATGTTAATTAAAGCATGTTGCTTATACTAATTCTAGCTTTGCCAAGTGTACAAAGATCTGAAAGTGCAACAGGGTGGTCGATAACTTACAGAATGGCAGGCTTCTTTCCCTAGAAAGTATGACTTTTCTTTTAGGAGAGATTCTATTAAAGTATATTCACATTGGGAACTAGAATGTATTATGCTACATGAAAGAAAAATACATCATTTCACTCATGTGGAATTTAACAGAACAGATGAACATAGGGTAAGGGAAGGAAAACTTAAGATAAAAACAAAGAGGGAGGCAAACTGTAGGAGACTTTTAAATACAGAGAACAAACCAAGGGCTGCTGGAGGGGAGGTGGGTCGCAGGATGGGTTAAATGGGTGATGGGCATTAAGACGGATACTTGTTTGAATGAGCATTGGGTATTATATGTAAATGATGAACTGCTAAATTCTCCTGAAAAAGATACATGCTAACTAACTTGGGTTTAAATAAATAAGGGGAAAAAACATTGACAATGATAAAATGACTGCCAGATACTTCTAATATTTGGGAAGTGGTAAAATGTAGTTTAGGCAAGAGCTGAATTATAGGCAGTTAATGTATGTGTTCATGAAGCTACTGGTCTGAATCATGTAACGTGCTACAAAACATTTTTCCACATCTGTAAAATAAAGCAGTTGGATTAAAAGTTTCTGTGGTGACTCTAGATACTATGAAAACAAACGCATACTAAGCTGTTCTTAAAGCCCAGGATGAATCTTAGTGCTCAGGAGGAATGAATATGCTGCCGTTAAGAATTCATATTTGAGGAGCACCTGGATGGCTCAGTGAGTTCAGTGTCTGACTTCAGCTCAATTCCTGAGTTTGAGTCCCACATTGGGCCCTACACTCCCAGTGTGGAGCCTGGTTGGGATTCTCTCTCACCCCCTCCTTTTTTGCCCCTCTCCCACTCATGCTTTCTCCCTCCCTCTCTCTCTCTCTCTCTCTCTCTCTCAAATTAATTAATTAAAAAAAAGAATTCATATTTGAAGTTTATCAGACTACATTGTGCTGCATACCCTTCCTCCAGCGCCTTTTATACATTGAAGACTTAAGCCCCGGTACCTCAGAATGTGACTGTATTTGGTGATAAGACCTTTAACAAGGTAATTTAAGGAAAGTGAGATCAGTTGGGTGAGCCCTAGTTCGATCTGACTAGTGTCCATGTAAGAAGACATTAGGACACAGATAGAAAGTGAAGATGATCAGACAAGTGGAGAAAATGACCATTTATTAGCCAAGTAGACAGGCCTTCAGAAGAAACTAACCCTAATCACACTTTGATTTGAACTTCCAGCCTCCAGAACTGTGAGGAAATAACTTTCTGTTGTTTAAGCTGCCCATTTGTCGTGCATTGTTATGGCAGCCCTCGCACAGTAATATGGGGGGTCAGAGGAGAGAAACTTCAGCAAGTGATGCTGGGACAGTTGAATATCCATCCACGTGCAAAGAGAATGGACTTAGATCCCTCACACTGTACAAATGAATCAAAATCAGATACCTAAATTTAAGAGCTAAAGCTTTGAAGCTTCTAAAATAAAACAAAATATTTGTAACCCTGGATTAGGCAGTGGTTTCCAAGATAGGATACAAAAAGCATAGTCCATTAAAAAAAAATTGTTAAATTGGACTTCATCAAAATTAAGAGTTTTTGTTTTTCACAAGACGTCAGTAAGAAAAAATTTGGGGCAGTTCATATCATAAAAATGTATTATAATTCAATAAGACAAAACGGGACAAAATACTCAAATAGATATTTCATCCAAGAAGATAAACAAATCGTCAAAAAGCACAAGAAAAGATGTTCAAAATCATTAATCATGGAAATGTAAATTAAAGTCGTAATCTTTTTAAGTTTATTTATTTTGTGAGAGAGAGGATGAATCCCAAGCAGGCTCCACACTGTCAGTACAGAGCCCAGTGTGGGGCTTGAACCCACAAACCATGAGATCATGACCTGAGCCAAAACCCAGTCGGATGCTCAACCAAATAAGCCACCCAGGTGCTCCAAGTAGATTGTAACTTTGTACGAAAGCTTAATTCAAGATGATCAAAGCAACATTTTCATAATACTCAAAAACTAAATTATCCAAGTATTTATCCTATAAATAAAGCAAAATGTGATATAATAGCCATACAAGGGAATAGTGTGCAGCAATAAAAGAAACAGAATAATCCACTAACTTATATACAGATGAGCCTCAGAAATATTCTGCTGAGTGTATGAAGCCAGACACACAAAAAACTATTATTCCATTTATAAGAAATTTCTACAAAAAGCAGATCTCAAAAGACAAAGGTAGATCAGTGGTTGCTGGGAGTAGGAGTTGGACAGCTCATGGCAGATAGTTTTGGACTGGTGGAAAGGTTCTAAAATGATTGTGATGGTTATTGTATAACTAAATTTACCGAAAAGATCTAATTTTAGACTGAAATTTCATGGATGGAGTGTTACAGCTAATCATTATGTTCTGTGTAAGAGTTGGTAGTAGCAGGGGTTTGACTTTAATTGAGGTGGGGTTTGTTGAGACTCCATGGTCAAATACCCATAGATAATAGGATTTCATTTTGGTGTGGTGGGGGGGCATGGGGTGTTTTTTTCTCCACCACCAAAATTGGAACTCTGGATTTTCTTTTAGAAAGTGTACTGAATTGTCATTTGGTTTGAAAGAGCTGGGTGTTCATATTGTTTTGTTTTCTTGTTTTAGGTTCGTTACCGTGAACGCATCACCATTCTTCGAGGAAATCATGAGAGCAGACAGATCACACAAGTATATGGTTTCTATGATGAGTGTTTAAGGAAATATGGAAATGCAAATGTTTGGAAATACTTCACAGATCTTTTTGACTATCTTCCTCTCACTGCCTTGGTGGATGGGCAGGTATGTAGGTCTTACTTAAAGTTATGTTGCTGATTATTTTCAAGAATCTGCTGTCTTAATGTTTAGGGCCAGTCATTTTTCTACCCTCCCATCCCTTTTGGACTTTTGAAGTGCCTTCTTTATATCAGGCACTGACTGAACTATAAGATGGGACCACAGGGTTAGAAGATGTAGCCCGTCCATCCTCTCAAGTTGTTTCTGGACAAGTCTTGAAGATGTAATTAGCTATTTACTCATCCAGATAGAGAAGTGCACAGAAGAAATTGCAGAAAATCCTATGAGAAGGAAGATAGTCGGTGGTGAGGGTAAGGTCAGAGAAATATTTCCTTGGAGGAGCTGACTGAATTGGAGTCTGGGTGTAGTAGCAATGCTTTATCAGGAAGAAAGGGAGTGTATTCAGTAGTTGCAAGTGGGCTGAAAGAAAGACTGACCCTGCAGATAAAGCCTGGTTCTGGCAGAGCACAGAAACACCAGTAGGACCAAGTGATGTGGGCTGCCTGAATGCAGAATGTTTAAATTTTCTTCTATGTGAGATTAACATAAACCATTCTTTTCAGATATTCTGTCTCCATGGTGGCCTGTCACCATCTATAGATACACTGGATCACATCAGAGCGCTTGATCGCCTACAAGAAGTTCCTCATGAGGTATTGACTCTTATTTGGTAGAGAGAGGAAAAATTTTATTCTAACTTATTTTCCTTTGTGTATTCTTTACTTTAATGCCCAAAAATGATCCCATGTCGTATGAACACTCTTACCAGCGACCTCATTCTTCAGAAGAAGCTAATATTAAGAAACCTAAGATAACAGTGCCTTTGGGACTGGTCTTAGAATCTAGGTAGTTTCTTCAGAGCCTTCTGCCTTAATTACTGGACTATAATGCCTGATGTTGAAATTTGCATACTATAGCAAGGTTAACTAGTTAGGGCTTGTTGATCTTGGGACTCTTTGACATAGGATGTACCTCTTAAAGACATCTGGAAATAGTTTCTTACTTACTTGACACACATAGTTGACTGCAAAGCAAAGCTTAAGCTTTTTTAAGCAAATACCACTCAAAAAGTGTGACTTTGTAGGGTGCTGCTCCTGATGAATTACTTAAATCATTTTTGCAAGAGGCAGTTTAAACCTTACCTTGTGATAAACAGACAAAACAAAACTTGCTTTTTAGGGTCCAATGTGTGACTTGCTGTGGTCAGATCCAGATGATCGTGGTGGTTGGGGTATATCTCCTCGAGGAGCTGGTTACACCTTTGGGCAAGACATTTCTGAAACATTTAATCATGCCAACGGCCTCACATTGGTGTCCAGAGCTCACCAGCTGGTGATGGAGGTATGTCTCCTTTCTGAAACCTGAAATGCTTTTTATGTATTTGTTTATGTTTATTTACTTATTTTGATAGAGAGCATGAGCAGGGGAGGAGCAGAGAGTGAGTGGAAGAGAGAGATCCCAAATAGGCTCTGTGCTCAAACTCATGAATTGAGAGATCGTGGCCTGAGCCGAAATCAAGAGTCTGACACTTAATGGATTGAGCCACCTACGTGCCCCCAATTTGTTTTTTAAGTAAACTTGAGGTAGATTTAGGGATGGGGTGTTTTTGTTTTTGTTTTTGTTTGGAGGGGGTTAGGTCAGTTAGTGATATAAATGAGAAAACTCCCATGTGTTTTGCCTGAGCCTTTTCAGTAGATATACACTGGAATTAAAACCTCATGCTTTTGATCACAGTGAATTTCATAGTTGACATGTTTTCGGAAAAGTCTTACTGACTGAGTAGTGCTAGGGATTTAAAAGTAGGAAAGTAAGATTCAGGAAGCGCGAGAGGAGGGAAGGTAGCAATTTATGGTTTCAGTTCTGTTTCATGTGTTTAACAGGTATATGTAAGGAGGGCAGATTGAGATGAAATAGAAAAATGTTTCAGTATTTGTATAAAAGTATGATTTTGCCAGAGAACCCAGAAACAAAACATTAATATTTTTTAAGCCTTGTGGGAAGGGGAGATCTTTTTTCTCTCTTGACTCACATTTAATTGTAAATAAGGGAGTAAAATAGGTTTTTATCACTTTTCTTGCAGGGATATAACTGGTGCCATGACCGGAATGTAGTAACAATTTTCAGTGCTCCAAACTATTGTTATCGTTGTGGTAATCAAGCTGCAATCATGGAACTTGATGATACTCTAAAATACTCTTTGTAAGTATTTACACCTGAGTAGTTGGCTGCTGTTACAGTCGAGTCAAACTGTATAGTTTGAATGGGAGGTGTAAGAATCGAAGGGCTCATGCTAATTCAGATCCCAATTTGATTTTTACATTTCCTTTTTTTTTTTTTTTTTAATGTTTATTATGGGGGGAAGGAGCAGAGAGTCTCTCAAGCAGGCTCTACACTGTGTAGAGCCTGATGCGGAGTTTGATCCCACAAACTGAGATCGTGACCTGAGCTGAACCCCAGGAGTCAGAAGCTTAACTGACTGAGTCACCCAGGCCTTCTTAATGTTACCTTTTGTACAGATCTGTGATATGTTGAAACACATCAACAGAAAATTGGTCCTATATAGATCCTGATGTGTGAATTAGAGTTTTAACTTTTAAACACATTTTTATTGTGGAGTTAATAAAATGTATTCTGAGGTTAGATTACAGATACAGTACATTGAGCTCCTGGAACCCTCCTTTCACATAACCTTAGAAGGAACTCTGATACATAAAAATTCTGTTGGAAGTTGCATTGGCTCTTCAAGGAGGCGTGCCACTAGAAGACTTACTAAATGCATGATTAGGTGACAATTAGGGTTCTTTTCCATTAAGGCAAGCTGAAATCGTACAGGAAAAAAATTGTGAGGGTGGAGAGAATAATATTCTTGATTCAGATTGTCAGCGCACTTGATATGTGCCATGTAAACAGCAAATATGTTTTGTTTTTTTTCAGCTTGCAGTTTGATCCTGCACCTCGCAGAGGCGAACCCCATGTTACTCGTCGTACCCCAGACTACTTCCTGTAATGAAATTTTAAACTTGTACAGTATTGCCATGAACCATATATTGACCTAATGGAAATGGGAAGAGCAACAGTAACTCCAAAGTGTCAGAGAATAGTTAACATTCAAAAAACTCGTTTTCACACGGACCAAAAGATGTGCCATATAAAAATACAAAGCCTCTTGTCATCAACAGCCGTGACCACTTTAGAATGAACCAGTTCATTGCATGCTGAAGCGACATTGTTGGTCAAGAAACCAGTTTCTGGCATAGCGCTATTTGTAGTTACTTTTGCTTTCTCTGAGAGACTGCAGATAATAAGATGTAAACATTAACACCTCGTGAATAAAATTTAACTTCCATTTAGCTATAGCTTTACTCAGCATGACTGTAGATAAGTATAGCAGCAAACAATCATTGGAGCTTAATGAACATTTTTAAAATAAGTACCAAGGCCTCCCCTCTACTTGTGAGTTTTGAAATAGTTTTGTTTATTTTCAGGGATACCGTTTAATTTAATTGTATGATTTGTCTGCACTCAGTTTATTTCCCTTCTCAAATCGAAGCCTCATGTCGTTCTTTGTTATTGTCAGAACCTGGTGAGTTGTTTTGAACAGAACTGTTTCCCCCCTCCTATAAGGCAATGTTACTGCACAAGAGCACTGCAGTGTTTTTCATAATAAACTTGTGAACTAAGAACTGAGAAAGTCAAATTTTAATGGTATCAATGGGCAAGACTGGTGCTGTTTAATTAAAAGATACATCAATTGATAAATTTTAGAATTTGTAGTATTCTAGGTAAAAAAATAAAAATCAAGGTCACTATATATAACCTCTCTGTTAACTCCTTGACATTCTTCAGACAATTTTCAAGACTTCTGATCCAGATAGTACAATTTGTCAGATAGCCACCCTGCTCTTCGTGGGTTCTTCCTGGGTATTAACTGGTCTGCAAGAAGGGAAATTTGGGCGACCTCAGGAAGACCTGGCTGTATTTAAGTGTTTTGGTTTTTGTTTTAATAAAGCATCATGTTTCCAGGTAGAGCCTGACAGACTAATGTGTCTACTTATCAGTCAGTGCAGTTTCTGGTTATAAATATCCTATTGCTATATATGTTAGATGGACTCTAAAATGATTGACAGATTTTGTACATTGCTTGTCATGTGATCTTAGACTTAACTTTGTCTCAGATAAAACTGTTAAAGCATTATCCTGTATTAAGCTCTTTAAGTGATACTAGTTAAACCAAATAGAAAACTGTTGCTAGATCTTGGTTTAGTGTTATGTGCATTCACCCAAGGACAAAAATGGCATTTGAAATGAAGTGACAGTGCTAAGCACTTAACGAGTTTTCCCACACCCTTTTTATCCTTTGAATAGGATTAGGAAGTTAAAACATTTCTTCTGTGGAAACTAATATTTGGTCATCTTAAGCAATCAGGGTAAACTTCAGGGCACTTAATCATCACTTGTGTGAATGTAGGAATAAAAGTTCCTTTGCTTTGTATTGAGTTGAATTTGGAGCTGACAAGGAAGTTTTCTTATATCTGAGATGCTTGAGGAAAATAACTCACATACACATTCTGTTTTAAAAATGGTCTAGTTTCTTCTTACCTCTCCTGATCTGACAGTATTTTTGGTGGCTTGTGGAATTGATGGTCCAAAGCAAAATGCCCTGTTTTTCTGTCTCCCATTTTATTCTTTTTATGCTTTCACAAGAAATACATCTATCTTTTTTTTTTTTTGGTCACTTCATACCCTTTCTCTTTAAGCAAATAATTCATCATGTGCGGTAGTTTTAACCCAGTGTCCAAGTAATCTAGATACCAAGCAGATGGTTTCAGGTGCCATGGTAACAGAATTGACCTTGAAGAAATATCTTCTAATTGACATGTGGTACCGTCATCCAGGTGTGCAAATTCTCTAATTCTTGTGGTTAGCAGAAAAGGGCTCGTGGTCAGAATGGCTTGGGTTTGGAATGATTACCAGAACTTAAACTGATTTTCTAATTGTACACAATGACTGGCTTTAACCATCTTAACTGGGAAGTGTTTAGTAACCTACCTGATTATGAAATGAGTTAAAAAGAAATACATTGGTAAGTATAGTAATTTCTTTAATAGTAATAAGTAATTGCTGTTGCTGATGTGTCAATTAGTAACAGATTTAAAAGAATTTTTTCTAATAAACTCTTTTAAAAGCTTTTTTTTCTTAAAGACTTGTTAACTAAAAATATGTATTTTGAGTATTCTATACAGAGAACTTACAGGAGTCTGCTTTGGAACTTTTAAGGGTAAAATGAATTGGTAAAACAATATGCTCATTTCTTAGATTGAATATTCTAAGCAAACACACATGACTTTTTTCCTTTTCTTGGTTGCAGTAGATATATTTTAAATGGAAGAACAGTTAAAGTATTTTTCAGAAAGACAGCTTTAGATGAGTAGGATAAGGATGGTTATTTCTATGGTTCTCAGCGTTGGTGCCCACAGAAATTCTCATTTAAATTGCCTGGAGGCATATGTAGGCATATTTTTAAGTTTCTCAAGTGATTTTAATTTACATTTAGATTTAAGAATCACTGCTTAGTTTTCCAGCAACAGATTTCAGAAAATTAGCTTTTGTGGTGATTGGTGGTGGTTGTGGGTTTTGGTAAATAATTAAAGTATACTCTAGGACTCTGTTTCAATAGTGACTTTTATCTGTTCTGTATAATAAAAAGTCCCCCTACTTTTCAGCCATAATTTGTTCTTAGAAATGGACCTTAACATTCAGTGATGGGCTTGTTTGCTTTGGGGTAGATTCTATTCCCCTGAGCCACACCTTTTTTTTTTTTTTTTTTTTTAAGCCTTAACCCACTGTCACAAATTCTTTATCATATTTCTGGGGTTTGCAATTTTTTTAACTTAGAATTTTTCCCTTCACAGTTGTACATTTACTTTATGAAGGTTGTAGATGTATTATTTAAGGCTTCCCTGATGATCTCCATATTTGTTTCAATCTTAGTTTATGTCTTAGAATTATGAGTGTGCTTTATTTCTGTTTTTTATTCTGTATATTTAATTATACAGGTACTGCCATGTAGACAAAAATGGGATGTTTGCTGCAATGGTACTGTTGCAGGCCTAGTGCTATCCTGTACATATGTTAACAATGTTTTTAGCAGCTGGTGTATAAATTTGAAAGAAAATACGAGTTATGGATATTTATAATGTACAAATTTGTTTTAAACGTTGAACACACAAAGGTCAGTGATAACTAAGTAAGTGGAATGAGCCAGGAACTCCAGATTTGTGATTCCTGTGATACCTGGACCAGAATTCTTTTCCCAGAGGGTAAAAGAGATAGATAGTGATTAAATGCTGGAAAAAAGGCCATGTCTTCTTTCTCTTTTTTATTTTTTTATTTTTGTAATGTTTCTTTTTGAGCAAAAGAGAGCGAGCGAGCGAGCCAGCAAGCAAGCAGGAGAGGAGGGGAGAGAGAGGGAGACACAGAATCCAAAGCAGGCTCCAGGCTCTGAACTGTCAGCACAGAGCCCGGGGGCAGGACTCTAATCCACAAACCTTGATATCTTGACCTGAGCTGAAGTCAGATGCTGAACTGAGCCACCCAGGCAGCCTTCTCTGTTTTTTTTGTTTGTTTGTTTTTTAAAGGCAAATCACAGATTCTCATGGCTGAAGGTTTTGTTTTGTTTAATTCCCATATAGTTACCATACAGTGCTGTATTTGTTTCAGGAGTACAATACACCGATTCGGCAATTTTATACATTACTCAGGCTTATCAAAGATGTGCTTTCAATCCCCTTCACCTATTTCACCCACCCCCCACCCATTTCCCCTCTGGTAACCATCAGTTTTCTATATCTTGTGGTTGAAGTTTGATTGTAAGTAGTTTGTATCCTCAACAGATTTGGGATAAGTACCTGGACTGTTGAGGTTTTTTTCCCTAAAATGCTACTAATAACACAACATGTGGTTCCTATTGCTATTTAGATCCCTTGGGAATCCCTCAGGAGATACCCTTGAGCCATCCAGAGTAATATCACTGGGGAAGTCCATTTAGGCTTCCTTGGATAGTGCCATTTGTGTTCTTTCAAGAGATGATTGGCAGACATTTTCTAGGGCAGTGGTAAGCTATAGCTGAGAGCAAGTCGAATGTCTTTTGGTGATAGTCAAAGACCAGAATTGTGATGGAAAAGAGAGTTAAGAGTGCTTGCTGTGGAGACAAGGACCAGAGAGAAAGGGTCAGTGAAAGCTTTTGGAAATGTCAAACACTTCTGAGGTGTAAGGTGACTCTGGTCTAATTTAGCTAAACTGCAGTAAATCCGGAACTACTTCAGCATGGCAGTAGTACTCAGGGGTAGAGGCAAAGACTGGTAGTTAGATTTGGTCATCCTGGACAAGGGTTGGCTTCCTGACTCCAAAGTAAGTTGTGTCCAAACATGTCTCAGGGAAAAAGCTAGATTTTGAAGTACAGTAAAATCTGCCAGATGTAAAGTTTGTAGAAAAAGCCCCTGATGTTACTGGCTTTCCTTTCAAGTACTTGGCCAGCAGTAGTGAGGGTCTGGGAGATGTGTTGAATACAGGAGGCAGAGGAGTGGGAGGAGAAGCTATATAATCTTATTTGGTCTTTTTCTTTCTTTTTTTAAATTATTTTTGAGAGAGAGCACGGGGGGCGGTGGGGGGGGCAGAGAGAGAGAGGGAGCCTGACACGGGACTCGGAACTCAGGGACTGTGAAGTCGACCTGTGCCCAAGTCAGAGGCTTAACTGACTGAGCCACCCAGGTGCCTCTAACCTTAATTCAGTCTTGAGCATACTTTGCTTCCCAGAATCATGCAGAAGAAAAATGATTAATCTCTACTTTGGTCCAAATAAAACTACCATTTTTATTTTAATCCGTTCAGTAATCTGTGACTAAAAGTAGACCACAGGAGCGCCTTGGTGGCTCATTTGGCTAAGCGTCTGACTTCGGCTCAGGTCATGATCTCGCGGTTCATGGGTTCAAGCCCCACGTCGGGCTCTGTGTTGACAGGTAGTTCAGAACCTGGAGCCTGCTTCTGATTCTGTGTCTCGCTCTTTCTCTGACCCTCCCCTGCTCATGCTGCTCCTCTTTCACTCTCAGAAATAAATAAAACATTTTTAAAAATTAAAAATAAAAGAACACAAAGACGGGCATAATCCCCAGCTCCCCACCTCCCCAAAGCCACACTGGAGTTGGTTGTACAGTAAAGGGCTGGGGAGACAGCACATTCAAATATGAATCAGTACCTCTCATGACTTCTGAAGAGGTCAAGTGATAACTGATCTGGTTAGAGTCTCTGCCTGGTGCTACTGCAGCATGTGTTGTCCTTAGCTTTGGATTTCCTTTAAATATTTTTTGAGAGCACAAGCAGGGAAGGGTCAGAGAGAGAGAGAGAGACAGAATTTGAAGCAGGCTTCAGGTTCTGAGCTGTCAGCACAGAGCCCAATGCAGAGCTCGAATTCATGAATCGTGAGATGACCTGAGCTGAAGTCTGACGTTCAACTGACTGAGCCACCCAGGCGCCTCCTTAAAAAAGAATCTTGAGGGGCACCTGGGTGGCTCAGTTAAGCATCCAACTTCAGCTCAGGTCACAATCTCATGGTTCATGAGTTGAAGTCTCATGTCAGGCTCTGCTCAGAGTCTGGAGCCTGCTTCAGATTCTGTGTCTCTCTCTCTGCCCCTCACCTGC